AATTCCTGGCCTAGCAAAATGTTAAATAAGACTGGTAAGAGCATGGCGCTGGAGAGATGGCTCAGAGGTTAAGAGCACTGATGTTCTTTCAGAGGTCCTGAGTTCAATTCCCGGCAACCACATGGTGGCTCACAACCATCTGTAATGTGATCTGGTGCCCTCTTCTAGCACACACATAATAAATAAATAAATAAATAAATAAATAAATCTTAAAAAAAAAAGAGAGAGTGATAAGAGCAGATATCCTGAAAGGCGTGAGCTATGAGTTCTTCAGTGATGACCTTTCCTGAGTTGAGAAATTTCCTTTCTACTACTGGTTGCATATTGTGTGTGTGTGTGTGTTTTAAAATTTTATCTTTATTTACTATCATTATTATTATTGTGTATGTGAGTGAGTGTACCATATGAGCAGGTCCCTGTGGAGACAGACTATGATATTGGACCCCCTAGAGCTTGAGTTACAGGTAGTTGTGAGCTGTCCTATGTGGGTTCTGGGAACGGAGCTTAGATCCTCTGGCAGAGCAGCAATTGCTCTTAACAGCTGAGCCATCTCTCCAGTGTAGAGTGCTTTATCCTAAGTGTAGATGTGTTCTCTGCACCTATTAAACTGATTGTGTAGGGTTTTTTTATCCTGTTTTCTATTTATTCTGTGCAATATAATACACACACACACACTATTTATAAATAAGTATCAAATGTATTTCAACACTGAGTTTCATTTTCGGCTTAAGACCTTTGGACAAATACCTAAAACTCATTATCAGAAATGCAGAACCGTTGCTAAGCCACTAAACACTAAACATTTCAGCAAATAAAGCTACCAGGTTTGCATTTAGAAAAATTACATTTGACTATCAAAATTTTGTTTTACCATTTACCCAGGAGACCCATTATTTTTATCTATCTATCTATCTATCTATCTATCTATCTATCTAAATATCTAAATATCTATCTATCTATTTTTTGAGATAGGGTAAGGTTTCTCTGTGGCTTTGGAGGCTGTCCTGGAACTAGCTCTTGTAGACCAGGCTGGTCTCCAACTCACAGAGATCTGCCTGCCTCTGCCTCCAGAGTGCTGGGACTAAAGGTGTGCACCACCACCACCCAGGCTCTATCCTACAGAGCTAGGACAGCCAGGGCTACACAGAGAAAACCTGTCTTAAAAACAAAACAAACAAACGGCGCCCACCACTCAGCAGTCTCAGTGCTCTCTTTCTCTCTCTCTCTCTGCCTCGTGGTGGTAGGTTAAGATGTATCCTCCATGGGGGCTGTAGAGATGGCTCAGCGATTAAGAGCACCGACTGCTCTTCCAGAGGTCCTGAGTTCAATTCCCAGCAACCACATGGTGTCTCACAACCATCTGATATGAGATCTGGTGCCCTCTTCTGGTGTGCAGATATATATGGGAGCAAAATGTTGTATACATAATAAATAAATAAATCTTAAAAAAAAATGTATCCTCCACTCTGCCATCATGGGCTAACACTCGGAACTGTAAGTCAAAGTAAGTGCTTTCTTTTATAAACTGCCTTGGTTTCTGGGTGCTTATGGTGCATGCCTTTAATCTCAGCACTCAGGACAAAGAGGCTGGTGTATCTGAGTTTGAGGCCAGCCTGGTCCACAGAGAAAGTTCCAGGACAGCCAGGGCTACACAGAGAAAAAGAAACACTGTCTCTCAAAATAAGAAAACAAATTGCTTTGGTTGTGTTGTGGTTTTTTGTTGTTGTTGTTGTTGTTTTGTTTTTTGGTGTGTGTGTGTGTGTGTGTGTGTGTGTGTGTGTATGCTCAAGCGCACCTGTGTGCAGCTGCACCTAGAGGTCAGAAGAGGGAAGCAGAGCCCCTGGAGTTAGAGTTATAGATGGCTGTGAGCCACCATGTGGGTGCTGGCAATCAAACTAGGGTTCTCTGGAAGAGCAAGTGGTCTTAAGCACTGAGCCATCTGTCCAGCTTTGTACCCCACCCCTGGCCACTCTCCTTCCTTGAGTTCTTTTTGCATGGTAGTCTGGCTAGAGGTTTGTTATTTTTATTAATCATTCCATGGAGCCAAGTTTTGGTGTAGATTCCTCTTTCTTCCTTCATTTCCCATCTTTCTTTGTGCTGGGAATAAAACCTAGGGCCTTCCTTATACATGCCAGTTGAGTAAGCTACCACTAAGCCAGGACCACAGCCTTAACTGCAGTTATTCATGTGTTTATTTCAGGGCTGAGTCTGAACCCAGGGCTGAACATTTCCTAGGCAAATACTCTAATGTGGAGTTACATCTCCAGCTTTATCTGTAATTTTGGAAATGTCTTTTTGAAGCTTGGTGTGGTGACACACTTCTTGTGTATGAGTGGGTTTTTTGTTTTGTTTTGTTTTGCTTTGCTTTACTTTTTCAAGACCGGAGTTTCTTTGTGTAACAGTCATGGCTGCCCTGGAACTCACTCTGTAGACCAGGCTGGTCTCTAACTCACAGAGATCTGCCTGGGTATCACACTTCTTTAATCCCAGTACTTGGGAGAGAGAAGCATTTGGATCTCTGTGAGTTCAAAGTCAGCCTGGTCTACATAACAAGTTCAGGGCTACATAGAACAAAGTCTTTCTTGTTGTTTTGTTTTGAGACAAAGTTTTGCTTGTAGCCCAGACTGGCTCTGATAAAACTAACAATCCCCCTGTCTCAGCTTCCTCACTACAGCCATGTGCTACTGTGTCTAGGTGCAATCATCTTACAGCCTTTCTCACCGGGCTCTTGTCAATTTGTGAATTCTAATATGTACCTTGAAGAATATAGGCTTTGCAAGACCCCACACTCCTTTATATTTAAGTTTGTATATCCATTCAGGGTGTGTGTGTGTGTGCGCGTGTGTGTGTGGCGGTCAGAGGTCAACTTTCAGGAGTTGGTTCCTCTCCTTCCACCAGGGATCCCAGGGATTAAACTCGGGTCATCAGGCTCAGGGTGAGGTCCTTCACCTCTGTGATTCATAACAGTACCATTCAGTTACCCCGGAAAAAATCAACTGGTCTGGTCCTCAGGAATGTGGGCTGCAAAGGACAGGAAGCTATGGGAACCTGGCTGGAGGGCAAAGAAACTTCTGCTTTCCACCCGGGGCAAAGGCTGGGGCAGCTTTCAGGCAGGCTGTTCTTGGCCTCTGCCAACCTGGGGCAATGGCTCTTCTCTTTCCCCAGGCATGGCCCTTCTCTGAACTCAGAGTAGAAAACCTGCTGGTGGGGTTGAGGGAGGGAACCCCGAGGATCCACATGGCAGGCAGGGAGAGTGGAGCAAATGGCATTGTGTCCTCACAGAGGGGGGAACAGATGCCAGGCAGGCTGAACAACACATCCTAAGTCGCCATCATTCCAGGGCTTGGTGTAAGTGAATTGCTGCCAGGGAAACTTGCTGTCCTGAGCCACACACTCCTTTCCAGGCCCTGAAACACAGACATACTGGCTTTCTGCACCCCAGTCACACAGCTGGCAGCAATGCTGAGCTAGTGCCCTGACCTCAGGGTTCTGTGCTTGTTAGGGCCTGCCAGCTCAAATGAGGTCCTGCTGCCTCCACACAGTGCAAAGGCCACCTCCCTCAGGCGTGTCTTGCAATGATTGCCTTCAGTCCAGGTGTCTTTGCTTGGGCACTGTCTGCTAAAACACAGCTTCCTCTTTGGCTCCTTACTATCGCACTCCCGTGTATAAGGACTCTAATTGTCCAAATGAAGATCCTAATACTTTTACTTAAAATCAGGACTAAAAAAAATGTTTTTTGAGACAGCCCTGGCGGTCCTAGAACTCACTCTGTAGACCAGGCTGCCCTCGAACTCAGAGACCCACCTGCCTCTGCCTCCTGAGTGCTGTGGCTAAAGTCATGCACCACCATGGCTGGCTGTTACTTTTTTGTTAATGGTGAAGTCTGAAGACAAACTTGCCAGAGTTGGTTCTCTCCTTCTCAGGTCCTCATGCTTGGCAACAGCTGTCTTCACCAGCTGATGTGATATGTGTTTATGTATATGATGTTATACTATGCATTATTATCCCCAAGTGTGTGTATGTATGCATGCAGGAGCCTATGGAAGTCACAAGAGAGTACTGGGTCTCCTGGAGCTTAAGTCACACATGGCTATGGGCTGCCACTCTGTGGGTACTGGGAATTGGACCAGGGTCCTCTGCAAGGTAAGTGTTTTAAGCACTGAACCATCTTTTCTCACCCCCATGGGCAATTAAAAAATAAATAAGTAAAATAAAGCTGACCTGCTGGATCACATACCAAAACCAGAAGGTCCACATGCTGCCTTGTAGACACCAATTTTATTCAAGAGGACGGTGACATGGAGAAGCGGGGTGGACATGTGGCTCAGGTTGTTTTAGGGGATGTGGTGGGAAGTCAAGGCTTTCAAGAACACTCTTATTGGCAACAAGCACCTTCTTCTTCTTCTTCTTCTTCTTCTTCTTCTTCTTCTTCTTCTTATTATTATTATTATTATTATTATTATTATTATTATTATTCCCTTTATCCGACAACCTGAAACCCGAGATGTGACTTCTGGAGTTCCAACATCTGTCTTGGACCTTGAGATGACCTTCCGAATAAATAAAAGTGAAAAGCTTGGGTGGCAGATCGGTAGGCAGAAAGATGAGACCCTAATACTCACTTCAGACTTCACTGTCACTGCGGTTCGGTTCGGGGTTCAGGGGCTCTCCTAAGGCCTGGCTCTGGCTGTCAGACCTCAGGATGCCATGGTGTTGGCATCCCAGGCTTTTGACAGCGATAGGGTCAGAGGTCTCAGTTCCCAGCCCTGTGGGTCTCCCTACAGGGCGCAAAGTAGCTGGGGTCACGATCTCAGTCGTGCTCAGGCCTTGGTCCTCTGGTTCTGCGGGGCTGGCAGCTTGCTGGCTGGGGTCCTGCGTGCAGAGGGACCGCAGAGACTGTCGCTGCCTGTCACCAGTCAGGTCCGCGCGGAGCAGTGACAGAATAAGCCCCGCGCGCCCCCTGGCGGCCAAGACGAGGAGGGACTCGGCGCCGAGCAGGAGGCGCCTCTGCAGCTCAGGGGCTCACGCGCCGCCGGAGCCGGGCTGGTCTGCAGACTCTCCAGCCGGGCCGGCCCTTGTGTCCTCGGATCCTGGAAGTCACCTCCCTCCCTGGCCAGGGGACAGAGGTGCTGCCAGTCTGCACCTGCCACAGGGACGCCAGGTGGGGTTCCAAAGCCCCCCACCCCGCGAGCTTCCGGTCCCTCTGCTGCTTCCATATCACCAAAGGAAGCTGCTCCTGGGATCTGGGATTTTCTCTTCTCTTTTCTCTTCTTCCCCTCTCCTCTTCTCCCCTCCCCTCCCCTCTCCTCCTCTTCTCCTCTTCTCTTTCCTCACCTCCCTCCTCCTCTCTTCCCCTTTTGCCCTCCCCTCCCCTCCTCTCTCTTCTCTTCTCTCCCTTTCTTTTCTTCTTTCTTTCTTCCTCTTCCTTCTTTCCTTCCTTCCTTTCCCTCCCTCCTTCCCTTTTGTTTTGTTTGTTGGTTTGTTGGTTGGTTGGTTTTTCGAGACAGGGTTTCTCAGTGGCCTTGGAGGCTGTCCTGACACTCGCTCTTGCATGAGCCACCAACGCCCGTCTCCTCCCTTCCTTTCTTTTCTTTTCTGTTTTTTGAGACAGGGTTTCTCTGTGTAACAGCTCTGGCTGTCTCGGAACTAGCTCTGTACATAAGGCTGTCCTCAGACTCAGAGATCTGCCTCCAAGTGCTGGGATTAAAGGCATGGGATTTGTTTTCTATACAGAAAACCCCCTGCAGCAAGCAAAAGCTTCCAGGACTGTGTCTCTGTCCAACAGTGGGTGGGTGGGAGGCACATGCAGGCACTGAGTATAAATCCCCCATGCTACCCCCCCCCCCGTGCTCTTTCTGGGAAAACACTGCGTTGTTTTTCATGGTATAAAATTTTAATAAGTTGTATCTTAAAACAAGCACTGTACATTTCTCTGCCAAATCACTGTGTTCTGGTAAAACACTTAACAAAACTGGGAGGCAGAGGCAGGCAGACATCTGTGAGTTCAAGGCCAGCCTGGTCTACAGTGAGAACTCCACACAACCAAGCCTACACAGAGAAACCCTGTCTTGAAAAATAAACAACAAAAACTACCGAGTCATTTTATTTTATGCATGAGTGTTTTTGCCTGCATGTATGTATGTATGTATGCGCATCATTTGTGTGCCCGGTGCAAGCAGAGGTTGGAAGGTGGCAGCAGACCCCCAGGAACTGCAGAGACAAATGGCTGTGGCGCAGAACTCAGGTCATCTGAAAGAGCAACCAGTACTCTCAATCACTGAGTCATCCATCTCTCCAGGCCCCTAAAAAAACTTGTTTGGAAACAGGATTGGCCAAGCTGGCTTTCAACTCACACTCTTCGGCCTTCTGAGCACTTAGTCACAGACTGGCCATGGTCTCCACCAGGCCTTTAAACACTGAAAAATTTAGCATACATAATGAGAGATGCTATATGAAACACTCTGGATTTAAGCATTGATTACCAACATTAAATAACTCATTAACTTTATAGCATCAATATATAGCGAAATGGGTACTATTGAGTTAAATAAAACCCTAATTTAATCTTTTAAAAAAAGTAACCCTAAACTGGTCGATGGTAGCACATACCTTTAATTCCAGCATTCAGGGGTTATATCCCCCATCCTTCAAAGGGCTAGGGTTACCTTTTGTTTGTTTTGGTTTGGGTCTTGGTTTTTCAAGACAGAGGTTTTTTTTGTTTGTTTTGGTTTGGTTTTGGTTTTTCAAGACAGAGGTTTTTTTTGTTTGTTTTGGTTTGGTTTTGGTTTTTCAAGACAGGGTTTCTCTGTGGCTTTGGAGGCTGTCCTGGAACTAGCTCTTGTAGACCAGGCTGGTCTCGAACTCTTAGAGATCTGCCCGACTCTGCTTCCTGAGTGCTGGCATTAAAAGTGTGTGCCACCACTACCTGCAATAGAAAGTTTTAGTATACTTATGGAGATGGCATTCTATATTTCTTCTCTAGAGAGTGGGTTCTCGGTCAATTTTTATTTATTGGTACTAAAGGTTGAACCAGGGCCTCATACACATAGGCAGATATTCTACCACTAAGCTACATCTCCTGCCCCTACAGTTGAATTTTTATTTTCTGTCTCTACTGAAGGCCTCAGAAACACCCGGGACATTGCCACCAGTGGAAATGGCTGTGTTGGAGTTGAAGTCCTGACTCTCAGATCTGGACTAAGCCTACGGAACTGACGCCTGGGCAGGTCAGCCAGGATGTATCTGATTGGGTCCTGGATGGCAGGAGACTCCAGTGGGTGCTGGCCACAGACTGTACACTTGAAACAGCATGAGCTCAATAGGCCCCCAAAGCCTGCAGCCCTAGTATCCAGCATGGCACCGCTGTTTCTCTCAGTTATGGCCAGCAAGGAGTCTCTAGAGCCATGGTCCTCAACCTTCGTACTGCTGCAACCCTTTAAAATGCTGTGGTGATCCCAATCATGAACTTATTTTCATTGCTACTTAGTAACTGTGATTTCGCTACTGTTATGAAGCATAAAAGTAAATATCTGTGTTTTCCCATGGTCTTAAGTGACTCCCTAAAGGGTCACAACCCACAGGTTGAGAAGCATTGCTCCAGAGGAAGGCATTCAAGAGCCACCAGCACAGAACTCTTGAGATCTGCAGAAGAGCTTCTTGGTCTATTTGTTTTTATTTTTCAAAATACTTCACTTAACTTATGTGCATTGGTGTGAAGGTATCTGATCCCCTGGAAGTGGAGTTACAGTCGTGAGCTGTCATTAAGGGTTCTGGGATTGAACCCTGGGTCCTCTGGAGGAGCAGCCAGTGCTCTTAACCGCTCAGTCATCTCTCCAGCCCCCAGAGGGCATCTTTAAAAGCATCATTTTGCTTTCCACTGCTGGTGGTGCACACCTTAACCCCAGCTTTTGGGAGGCAGAGGCAGAGAGACAGGGCAGGCAAAACTCTGAGTTTTAGGACAGCCAGTTCTAGGACAGCCAGGCATACACAGAGAAACCCTGTCTCAAAACAAAAACAAAAAAAACCCCTAACAACAAAAAAGAACCCAACAACAAAAAAGACCCATCATTCCACCTTTTCAAATGAGTACCCAAGGTCTTCATTCACAAAAACAGAGGGCAGGCTGCCTACAGGAGGGGCTGTCTGCCCTACACTGGTTGCCCAAGGTGGCAGGTCCTACAAAGGCCATAATGTATCTGCCACACCTATCAGGTCCTGAGTTATGACAATAGGGTACTCCATGGTGCAGCTTTGTCCCTGCCACTTCTTATGGCCTCACACAAGCTTTTGGGAGCCACATTCTGAGCCCTAGGAGTTCTTAGGAAACCAGGAAGTGCCATTGTTTAAAAACATCCATCACCAAAGAAGGGCAAACAGCCCTGAACTTGAGGTACACTCGTTTGAGGTAACTTCAAGTTCTGGAGGGGTCAGATAACCTTCCCTTCCTTCCCAGAGGTTAAAGCTCTGGGGGCTAGGCTTCAGCCACAATGGGCATCTTGTTTGGTGGCTCCAGGAGTTATCTGGGTCCTAAGCCTTCTCTTCCTTCTCTGGCACGAAGGACACCCCAAGAGCCAATGTTACAGCCACTCAGCCTCTGCGGTCTGCTGGCCTTCAGTGAGACAAGTCGCTAAGTGCAACTTCTGGGCCCACAATTTTCTAGAATCACGTGCTTCAGAACCCACCCCCCTCCTGGAAAAGGGGCAGTGCCTCAGGCAAGCAGTGACAAGCTATTGCCACTCAGGGGGTAGCTCAGGGTGTGCAGGGTTGACAGGTATCTAGGTGGACTCCTCCTGGCACTGTGACCAGTGTCCCCCCACCCCAGTTCAAAAATGGGTGCTGTGAACTCCCAAAGCCTCTGGGGTCTAAATAAACCTGTATTCAAGTCATGGTTTTCCAAGTGGAGGATCCCACAGCAGCCTCTCTAAATCTTGGTGTTATGGAATTGCTCCAGTGTGCATGGGTTTGTCAGTGTCAGTAGACTCATTAATAAAGGACCTGAGGTGTTTGGAAGCTGGAATTGAGTAGCCCAGCTCCTAAAGGGACTATAAGTCAACAGCCCTGGACTTCCAGTCCTTTGGGTAAGTGACCAACGAGGACTACCTGCTCAACTGTTGTGGTTTGTTTCCATCTGAGGAAGACATATCTGGAGTGTGCCCTTCCTTAGTCAAGGAACACTATTCCTAGTGTAGTGTGTCCCCCTGACTCCCTATGCTAAATCCCCCTGACAGGCAAATACGAAGGTGGGCTCCTGGAGACAGTATCCCTATGCCCAGGAAACAACAAAACATCTGATGTGAGGAAGCCTTTGTCTCAGGGCTTCTGATTGCTCAGTGGGCTTAGACGACTGGACAGCACTGCCATCTGGTGGCTGGCTAGGGCAGTGTTAGCGCCCCCAGACGGGAAAGGTCAGCACTTGGTACATGAAAGGAGGCTCCTTCCTGTCCAGGCACTGACCATGGAGTGGACTAACAGCACTTCACCAGCTAAGTCTGCAGGACACGGGTGTCTTAGGCACACTCCGAATAACGAGCCCTCCTAGGACACAGGGCTTGCACATGAGATGGCTTTGCAGGGAAAGCTCTGAGGCACACCCCCCAGCCAGCAGTCAGTGGGCAGGGCCTTTGGTTCAGGCCTGAGCATGACACACACCCCCTACCAATTCCTGTCCCTCTGTCTCGTTGGGTGTGTGTGGGCAGCTATTGATCAAGTTCAGCCATTTGCCAAGGTATATACACATTTTATTTAAAAAAGTTTACAGTTTTCATTATACACAACTATTAAGAGGTTATAGTCAGAGGAGGCATTTGTCCAGGTGACAGACATGCCCACTAGATCATCACAATGCAAGGACGATGGAAGAGAGGAGACAGGGCGAGGAGGGGAAAAGCAGTAAAAAGCTTAGATTTCAATTAAGGGCTGGTAAGTCCCTTTTATCTCTTCAAGTATCACACAACGTGTACCAAATACAATCAGTAATTAAAGGCCATTTCTTCCCACGCCCACAGCCGAGTAACTGCTAAACCAAGAGCCATGGCCATTCCTCAGGTGGGTGGAAAGCTGCACACCCATGACCCCAATGGGCCTTCACTTCATCCAATCCCTAAAGAGCTAGCCAAGGTGTTCAGTGGCCAAAGGAAAATAAACGTAGATTCAGAAGTCCAAAGAAATTTGGTTCTTTGTGCCCAATCAGAAATGAGTTGATTTTTTCACTCAGCAAGGTTATGACCCAATTAGAAGTGAACAAAACAAAGAAAAACTCTTTGCTAACTTTTGTAAATGGCTTTACTTTTCTGAGTCACTAAAACATACAGGGGCCACATGCCATCTAAAACCCAATGCCAGCTCTCAGAAACCTGACCCAGAGACTAGGCTGGCATCGGATCTGTCATGATTCTTAGCCACCCCAAAAGGTGGCCTAGAAAATGCAAGTATCAGGTCAAGGCCAACTAGAACTTCGGGGAGCCCTTTCCAGGGCACAGTTCCTCTGAGAAGATGCACCCCTCAGGAGCCTAGATCAGCCTGTTGGCAATTAGAACAGCGCTTGAAGTGGACAAAAATATTAGTGCTGGAGAGATGTGGCAACTTCTGGGAACTTTCTCATTAATAGGAAATGCTGGTTGAAGCTGCACAGTAGAGAAGGGTGGAGACTGCTGACAAAAATGTCAAATGCCAGGGTCTATGTTGGCAATCACAAAACACAGCTCACTGGCTCCAGGAACGTGGCAGGTTTGGGCTGCCAGGCAGCAGCCACTTGGCTTGTCGGTGTTTGGCAAGAGTCATCTGAATGGGGGCAGAGAATGGCTCCCACTGGTAAACCACAAGGTAGGACCTCAAAACTGGTTGGTACAAAGGATGTAAATGCCAGCAACAGCTCTGACTTACTGCTACCCCTTCCAAAGCAAGGGCTCGGTGTCAACTTGGGTGTTAGGAGGGACACCCACAGGTAACTAGAGAGGGTTTCGGTGCCCAAACAGCCATGCTGCAGAGCTCATCTATTTTCTATGGTAACTGAGTTCCCAAGAGTCACAGCCAGACTTTATTTCGGGGTCCTTTGCACTTATGGGTCTGGTATGGTCATGTAGCCCCAACCTCACCAAGGGGCAAGGGTGGGCCACAAAGCTTGCAAAGTCAGTTTCCTAACAGGGTCAAGGCCCAGAGAGCAGCAATGTGAATGGAATCAGAACTGGAGCCAGGAAGTTGAGGGTAGTGATTTGGGGGGCAGTCATCAACTCCCAGTGCTGCAAAACCTTCACTATTCGGCTGGACGGACTTCCCTGCAGCCTCAAGCCCCAGGCTGGATCCCCATGGGCCTCTCTGCACAGTCAGCTCGCACTGCTGCTGCTCTGCACGGGGAGTGATGTCTTTATTGGAGCCATGTGGGTTCTGGAAGGGTCAGCAGTAGCTGCTCACACCCAGTCCCTAAACTTGACTCTTATGCTTTGTTGGACTTTTTGCTTTGTATTTTTTTCAACAAGATCAAAAGCAATTATCAGGACCTTTTTTTGGAAAGGTAATTAGAATACTATTTTTATACAGTATTGAAAAAATACAATTTTTTATTGTTTGAACTCAAAATCACCACCCAGCACTTCAAGCCTACCCTAAGTAGCACCTACAGTAAAGGTTACAGCATGAGCAAACTGCTAGCCCTCAAGGGAAGCAAGGTGGGAGACTAGCAGAGAGCCTCCTTCCCCAGACAGAAGACAGCGTGCCAGGCAAGCACAGCGTTACACCACACAGCGTTACACCACACAGCTGAAGCCACCTTCCAACAGGCAGGGTGCCCGAGAGCACAGTACAATGAACCGAGCACAGCCCCACAGACTGCATTTTCCCCAAAGAAAACCTTTTGCTTCATGCCCGTAATCAACATAAAATAAGTAATTATTTGTCTTTTTATTTAGGAAAATAATCATGCTAAAAGTTGTACTTTATATAGATTTTCAAAGGAAAGACTGATTGTGCTTTCTGAATTAAAAAAGAGAGATCTCCCAATCTCACCGACTTAAACCCTGTGGAATACAGCACTTCTACACTAAATACGTCGAAAAGAAAAGTTAGTCCAGTGGGACATTCAAATGTCTTCAGAAGGTCTTATGATTGGCTACTTCTACTGTTCAGGTTTCGGCAAAAGAATACAGAGCTGCTGTCTAAACTGTCTCCAAATCCCTCAGAGTCAGATGGGAACTGCTGGGCACTCTGGGTGGCAGATAACTGAGCAGGCGCTGGGCAGCAGCAGGCCAGGCTTCCAGCTGTCTGACTTGCTGCTACCACAGAGGGAGGAAGGGCCCTCCCCTCCCCCGAAATCTGCCTAGTCCCAGTTCACACCCTTTCTCCCTCATCAGTCACAGAACAAAGTGGTTCTTCCCCACCTGAAATCACTTTGGGTACAACAACTTCCATTTGATTCAGTATTGCCCGCTTTAAATTTAGGATGTTTTGGGTCTCAGGTACCCACACTTCCCTCTCCCAGAAGCGGTTGGCAACCGGGCTGCTGCTAGGAGCAGCTGCCAGAGAGAAAACTAAGACTGGAGTTCAAAGGATCGTGCAGGGCTCAGGCCTCGAGGCAGGTCTTCCTCCACCTGAAGGTCCACCGAGTGCCTTGTCCAGGGAGGAGACTGTCTCTTGGTAGGTAAAATTAAATCAGTAACCTAAGTTCAATTCACACAAATTAAAAAAAAAAAAAAAAAGGAACAAAAGAAAAGAAAAACATCAAACAAAAACTGCTTCCAGTTTTTGCAGCTCAGTCCAGGGCAGTGGTCTCCAACGGGCCCAGTGCTGGGATCAGATAGATGTAATTGCATCCTCCACCTTTCTCCTCCAGTCCTGTTCTCTCAAAAAAGTTCTGATGACAAGCTGTACCCCAAGAAAAAGAACTGGGTTCAGAAAACACTCCAAAAGGTTCTCCAAAGCAAAACCAATGTGGCTGCAGGTCTGGCAGCCCAGAGGGCAGAAATCTACCTAGAAAAATGCACTTAAATCTGAGTCCAAAAAAAAAAAAAAAAAAAAAAAAAGATTCTAAGTCTTACTTCTCCTTCGGCTCTGTCTCACACCGCCCCTCAGAAAGGGCCACGAGGGCTTGGGATAGCTCATGTGTACATGGCTAGCTTCGCATGCTCCTAAAGCTCGCCTTTTCGCTCAACCTTTCCCTTCCACTCTGGAAAAGCACTGCTCTATCTTCATCCAAGAGCTGGCAGATTTGGTTTTTTTCTTTGGAACCATCAACAAAAAGAAGCAACCTTTTCTTGTTAGTTTTACTCGTGTTTACCTATCAGAGCGGCAATTTCTTGACAGTTCAGTAGCACACAGGCTGACTTGGCCAAATGGACTTATGAATGCATGCATTCGGACCGCATATTGCTACCAAAATGGAATGTGGGAATATGCTATGCACCTCAGGTTGAGAAATGACCAAGAAATCAAGATCTAAAGGGTGATATATAATATATATATATCAATGCTATTATTCATAAAAACCTTGTTTAGTAATAAAAAAAATTGCTTTGTTTAAATATGAATATTATAGTCTGCTTCTCATGGTTAGGAAATAATAGTCTTTCTGAAAAGCAGATGCTTTTCTACTACAACTCCATGTCCTGGGCCTCATCTTCTGAAAAGTCAGACATAGAGCTCTCCGATGAGCTGTCGCCAGCGCCCTCTTCTTGCTCCTTCAGGGCCTCCTCCGTTGCGTATTTCTGGATGTACTCTGTATGGGAGAAGGGCAAGTGAAAAAAAACACAGGTGTGAGTTCAGTGACTTCTAAGTACAAACTTCCCTGCTAGACCAGGATAAGAGCTGTATGATCAGCTGGGCAGTGGTGGTACCCGACTTTAATCCCAGCACTTTCAAGGCAGAGACAGGTGGATCTCCATGAATTCGAAGACAGCCTAGTTTATAGAATGAGTTTCAGGACAGGCTCCAAAGCTACAGAGAAAACCTGTCCCAAAAAACCAACCAACTAACCAACCAACCACTTTTGGGGCTGGAGAGATGACTCAGAAGTTAAGTGCAGCTGGTCTTCCAGAGGTCCTGAGTTCAAGTCTCAGCAACCATTTGCAATGAAATCTAGTGCCCCCTTCTGGCCTGAAGGGATATATGCAGACAGAACACCATACATAATAAATAAATAAATAAATAAATAAATAAATAAATAAATCTTTAAAAACAAAGATTTAGAAAAATCTTGCTTAAAAAGAAAAAAAGAGTTGTTATGATCACTAAAAGCCAAGGGGGATTCCAAAGAGGAGGTGACTAGTGTGTGGTAAAATGGGCAGCCCACACTCTTGACTTTCCATGTTACAAAGTGATTTCTTTCCCAGGTAGAACAGGACTAGAGATGACTCCACAGTGGTTATCAGGACACCCCATAGTCCTCTGACCGGCAGCTGTGTAATTACAGCCAGCTCAGGGCTGTTACTGTAGAGTAACTATACAGGTTCTGACTGTTGGAGTTTGGAAGCAGAAAGCAATAATGGTCACTGTCTGCTCATCAGGAACAAGCTGTCATGTGGCAGGAGGCTCAGGAGTAGCCGAGTGGTTCTTCCATGCATTATTCACATCAAGATTTATGCTTCAAAAGCCTAGGCCAAATGTGCTGGCTGAAAATGAATTTAAGTGCTGAATAAAGAATAAAGCTGTTGCTAAAAGCACACTTTGTTGCTGGTAGCACACACCTTTAGTCCCACCACTTCTGAGGCAGAGGCAGGCAGACCTCTGAGTTCAAGGCCAACCTGTTGTACAGAGAAACCCTGTCTTGAAAAACCCAACTTTGTGGTGAGCTTCCTGCCCCTGTATGTCAAGTGCTGAGGTGACAGATGAGTGTTACCACACTCAGCCATATATGCCTTATGAAGAAATTTGTAGGTCTGAGACTTAGAGCTCTTTATAATCACAACAGGATCATTATACTAAGATTGTGAGATTAAAGTAGCTCTTACTTGGTTAAGATTTTCTTTTCCCCTTTGAAACAAGATCTCATGTATTCAAGGCTGGTCTTAAACTTGATTTTAACCTAAGAATGACCTTGAACATCTAACCTTTTTGCTCTACCCACCCCCTTGCTGAGATTATAGGCATGTTCCATTATGCCTCGTTAAAAATGTCCTTTTTTACAGTTGGTCATGATACACACCTTTTAATCCCAGGGCTCAGGAGGCAGAGGCAGGCAGATCTTTCTGAGTTCCAGGCCAGCTAGGGCACTGTTCACAGTGAAATCTGTCTCAAAAAACCAAGAAAAAGCTGGGTGGTGGTGGTGGCAGAGGCAACTCACAACTTTAATCCCAGCACTTGGGAGGTAAAGGTGGATCTCTGTGAGTTTGAGGCCAGCCTGGTCTACAGAACAAATTCCAGGACAGGCAGGGCTACACAGAGGAACCCTGTCTGAAAAACAGGGTTCAAACTTCAAACTTTTTAGAATAAGAAAAATGTTAAATTATGTGTATGTATGTGCACAGGTGCAGGTGTGTTCAAAGAGGCCAGAGGTGTGGGCCCCGATGTTGAGTTATAGGTGGCTGTGAGCCATTCTTATGTGGGGGCTAGGAATTGAACTTGTGTCTTTTGAAAGAGCACCAAGCACTGCTAACCAGTGAGCCACTTTTTCAGCCCAGGGATTTTATTTCTGATTCATGGCTGGCCATTCTACTTTCCCTTCACAGAAGGTGTTACATCTGTCACACCAAATTTAAGATAGTCGAAGAAACAAATGTCAATGAAGCATTTACTAGAACAAGGCTTTGCAGAAGGCCAAGAACTTAACAACGAACGTCACTGACAGAGGAGGTGCACCATGACAGGAATTGGATGAAGGCTGAGGGAGGCAGTTATAGCCACTTAAGCCCCCATGATATGTCAACCCTGCACAGAACAGTCCATTTAAAGTCTTGGGGTCACCAAAATTGTGTGGCTGGGTTATAAAAAACTGAACATTATTCTTTCTTTTTTTAGTTTTTCGAGACAGGGTTTTTCTCTGTAGTTCTGACTCTTTTGGAACTCACTCTACACAGTTCAGTCTCAAACTCAGGGCTCCATCTGTCTCTGCCACCCAAACGGTGGGATTAAAGGAGCGTGCCATCACCGCCCAAAGTCTCATGTGTTTAGGCTGGCTTCAAACTCTCTACAGATCTATATACAACCCATGACCTCCCTTATCTCAAAGTCCTCAGGCATGTGCCACCATTCCTAGTTTATGTATGTGGTGCTGAGTTTTGTGTATGCTAGGCAAGCACTCCGCTCTATCTGCTATACCTCCAGCTGTCCTTAAACGCTGAAGAAAATGAGGCAGAATGTAGAGGTCTTGTTAGATGCATGTAAATAAGTAAATCTTGTGTTTTTCTGTAGCAGTGGTTCTCAACCTGTGGGTCACTACTCCCACGGGTGTTGAATATCAGATATTCTGCATAGCAGATGTTTACATTACAATTCATAACAGTAGCAAAACTACAGTTATGAAGTAGCAATGAAAACAACTTTATAGCTGGGGTCACCACAGAATGAGGGACTGTGTGGAAGGGTTTCCAGCATTAGGGAGACTGAGAAGCACTGCTCTGCATGCTAGTTTCTCGTGACTAACAGAGGCAGTGAATACACCTCAGTGCCTGAACTCATCCAACTAGACAGCCACAGAATGGGGCAATCAGGGGAGGAAGGGAAAGAGGCAGGCTACCCAGTCCTGGAGATGACCCCGGCAGGCTGGTGCTGACCAACACAGGCTTTGCGTGCACACACTCACATTCGCACGGGGGCCACATGCCGGTGCCCGGCCTCTTGTTATTACCGTTCTCCACCTTCTTTTTTGAAGTAGGGTCTCTCATTGACCCTGAAAAGGCCAGCCAGTGAGCTCCAAGGAGCCTCCCTGTTGCTCTTACTCATGCTATCAAGGCAAGTACCTTAATGACTGAGCTATCTCCCATTGCACTAGCAAAGGGGTTTTTTGTTTAGTTTTTGAGACAGAGTCTCTATGCAGCCCTGGCTGTCCTCTAACTCAAGAGATCCTCCTGCCTGTGCCTCCTGAGTGCAGGGACTAAGATGTGTACCACTGTGTCTGGCTTACTAGCAAAGGTTTTGAGCAGAGAAGTGACCTATCTTTAGCTCAGTTTTGCCCTCTCTCTGCCTCCAGATTATGGTTCAAATGTGAGCTCTTCGCTACTGCCCCAGCACCACATTCTCCACCGTGATGATAATGGACTAATCAAATTGTAAGCCAGTCCCAGTTAAATGCTTCCTTTATAGATTGCTTTGGTTATGGTGCTCTTCATGGCAATATTAACAGTGATGACTATGACACCCGGGAGGAAAGAGTAATCCATGCTCTTAGCTGTTGAGCCACCATTTCTCCAGGCCCCTACATCTGCATTCTTCAATAGCAGCAGCTAGATCTAAATGCTAATGCCTAGGGAGAAAAAACTATGGACTTTTCTGTAATGCAAGTACACCAAGCTGTGATTGCCACTGTAGTGTCCAAAGACAAGCTAGGAGAAGGGTCAGGCCTAAACATATCCACTGAGTCCATCTACCTGGGGGGTTACCTGAAGCCAAGAGTAACAACTCAGGGGAGACAGGGAGCCTGTTGTAAGAGAATGGTCACATTTTGAGAGAGTGGCATCTGAGATGTGGTTCAGAAAGGAAGAGTGCGGCAATGCTGCAGCAAGACCAGGGAGATGGGAACTGGAAGGGTCAGCAGAGAAGGGGAAGCAAGGACAAAAGCTGCCTGTGACACAGGAGGGCTCATGGGAGCAGTCAAGGCTTTGGAAATGTGGGATTCCAGCAGCCATGGGATTAAGGATAAAAGTTGGCGAGGGGATGAGTTTGAGAAATAAGGTAAGGCACCTCTATTTCCTGAAGGGCAAAGGAAAAATGGGTGAGGCAGTGCACAATAGAAAACAGGCTGCACTCAAGTCTAACAGCCACAACTATCTCACACCACCAAGAGGGGCAAACTGACCCTCAACATGGACACCACATCAAGTGAGGGTCGGTCCCTGAGATGAACACAGGTCTCGGTCCTGCTCTAACTAGGACCAGAGCAGACCTGTACTACAGTGAGGTTAATACTATATTGCTGAGGCATAATGAGTGTAAGAACTATAGAATATTTTCATAAATATCCATGTTTTGTAGACATTGGTAAGTGAAGGCTATGTCAAAATGTTAGCACAGTTTCCTAGCAAAATTCTATTTGGTTGAAACCAAAATTTTCTTGAACTATATGGCTGATTTGGATATGTAGGTTACTATACTGTATTAAATTAGATATTAAATTTTTAAAGTACTTGAGACCTAAGAAAGTGAACTACAGGCCACAGGGTGAGAACAAAACAAAACAGAGGGGAACTATTATTTAACACATGGTCCCCTGGTATTCCTGTAACTGAAGCTTTGCACAGCTAAGGGGAAGGCCTATGTATTCAAGCTTTCTAACATACGTTTACGGCCATTGTTGGCAAACGGATTTGACACATTTTGTTCAGATAGGCACATCACTAACACAAGGGCACGCCAACCATTTGTGCAGGGGGAGCAGACACAGTGCCGTCCTTCAAGTTCTTTTCTATCTGGTGTCACTGCCATATGCACCTACACCTTTCTTACTAGGCAAGTTCTCAGATACAGAGGCAAGCCAGGGCTATGGGTATAGTGCAACCACAGAACACACTGAAGAGGAGAAGAGGAGGCAAGCTGATCATCCAATTCAGGAAACAGTTTTAGATGTTCTTTCACAACCTCATTTTTCTCTGAATCCAACTCCAGCCCCAGTAGCAAGTGGTCCTAAGGATGTGGAAGCAGTATTCTAAACCCTGGGGGACAGCCAATGGCGCCACGCCACTCACACAGCGGCTGTCCTTTTAGACATCGGTCTCCTTTTAGATTAGAGAAAAACTACAAGGAACTGAGTAATTTTTTTTTTGTTTTTCAAGACAGGGTTTCTTCTGTGTAACAGCCCTAGCTGTCCTGGAACTCACTCTGCAGAACAGGCTGGCCTTGAATTCACAGAGATCCTCCTGCCCCTGCCTCCCGAGTGCTGGGACTAAAGGTATGTGCCACCACCTAGCAGGAACTGAGTAATTTAAGGCAGTTTTAAATGGCCAACTAAAAGTGCATGCCACCTTACCTTTAATTTTCTGCTTGTATTCTTCTGGTCGGTGGAGGTACATGGCTGCAGCGTCACCATTGAGAGGATCTATGGGGTTAGGATAGGCCAACAACTGGGGAAGGAAGGACTCAAATATATTGGTAAGATCTGAAAAAAAACAAACACACACACATACTTCATTGTTGGGAACACGAGATTTCACCTAATAACAGCTGTCAAGAAAGATCACTTTAATGTGTATTTTGGCTACATTAACTTATGTGCATCATGCTTGTGCAGGTGCCCCTGAAGCCCAGGGGCTGCTGGTACCAGCTAGGCTTTCTACAAGAGCAGTAAGCACTCTTTTTTTTTTAATATTTTATTCTTTGTGTCTTTCACATCATGCTTCCCAATCCCACTCACCTCTTGTCCCCTTGAATAGGTCCCTGAAACCCCCCCCAGCAAGTAAAACAAAATAAATTTTAAGATTAGTAAAAAAAGAAAAAGGGAAAGTCTCCTCATGGAAGCTGCAGTGTAACAGAGTGAGGCACACAGCAAATCCCTTTAATCCATACATATTTCCATGGAGGTGTTCATTGCAAAGAATCATCGGTCTGGTTCCAGGTTTCTGCTACACTATTGACACTGGGCCCTCACTGGGACTCTTCCTGGACATCCTGTTGCTGCCCTGTGTAGCCCTGGGTCCACAAGACCTCCCACGCCCATGTCCTAGCAGATCACAGAGGCGGTGGATCTATCCTGGTTCTGGGTCTGGGTAGTTGCAAGGTTGGTCAGCCTGCCAGCTCTCCTCGGTCTTCACCACCAGGGGGAGCTCTCCTGCATTGTCCTGGCAAGCTCACTCCTTGAGTCCTGAGTAAGGGGCAGGGCCAGTTCTCAGGTTTTCACATCCTCATCATCTGGGCTCTCTCACACGTACAACTGCAGCCCAGCTCTACTGTGCTGCCCAGTGGAGTGGAATGGCCACTCTGAGAAGCTATCTACCTCTCCATTCCCCAACACCTGCTGTCTTCCACCGTGCTCACCTGCTTAAATACTTCACTACCACATGGATGGTTTTCCAGAAAGGTGTGTTCTACAATAACACAATCATTTTAACATCAATTACATTTTAAAAAATTTAAACTTGAGGAATCAGGATATACAGAATATTATTCTCTTTGAAGGGCAATTTCCTCAACCTTTCCATACCTCCATTTTCCCATTTTTATGCTGATGGGAGTTCCAATCCAGGGCCATGTGTCAGACTGGTATGACCACAGCCCTGTTTTATCAATTCTAATTTACTCTATTTCCCAAACTGAGACTTGGGAACACATGATTTATTGAAAATTATATCCCAATAATCCACCCCAACCTGCAATTTTTCTTCCTTTTAAAGGATTTTACCACTGTGTGCTCACATGTCTGATGACTGTGAGGGCACACGTGCCATGGTATGAGGACTGAAGCCAGAGACAACCCTGTGGAGGTGGTTCTCTCCTCCACCTCACATGGGCTCTGTAGATGGCAGGCCGCTCACTCACAGCAGGCCATCTCACCAGCCCCAAGTGAGTTAATTTCCCTTAAAAAATCATTTTTGTTTTATGTATTATTTTGTATTATGTCTGAATGTACATCAGTGCACCACATGTGTGCAGTGTCCACAGCTGCCAGAAGAGGGCATCAGATCCTCCTGGAATGGGTGCTGGGAATTGAACCTGGGTCCTCTAGAAAAGCAGCCAGTATTCTTAACCACTGAACTATCTCTCCAGTCCCATGAGTAATTTATTAAAATAGTCATGTTTCACAATTTCCAAAGCCTTCTATTGTATAATTATTGTTGCTGGTTGTGATGCAGAGTTTCCCATAGCTTAGGCTGGCTACAAACTTGACACGTACTAAAAGAAGCCCTTATATTCCTGCTTCACCTCCTAGGTAAACCTCAGGATCACAGGCAAGGCCAAGCATTCAGGAGGTGAGGCAGGAGGACGGCCATGAGGTTGAAGCTTACCCTGGGCTACCCAGTGAATTCCAGGACAGCCTGGGCTGCTTACTTGACTCTTGCTTTGAAAGGGAAAATAAAAGAATGAAAAAAATTTTTTATAGGAATTGATATTTAATATTCTGTCCCCCAAGTCCCTTGACAAGACCCCACTAAGCAGCTCAGTTGGCCTTGAATTCATGATCCCTCTGAGGCCCAGAACTGTAAAAATGGGCTGGCATTAATTTCTATTGGTCAAGGTCTTCAACTATTCAAAATAAGAGAGGGAGAAATCTAGCCTGGGATGGTGGTGTATGCCTTTAATCCCAGCACTTGGGAGGCAGGAGGCAGAAGCAGGCAGATCTCTGTGAGTTTGAGGCTGGCCTGGTCTACAGAGCTAGTTCCAGGACAGCCAGGGCTACACAGAGAAACCCCAAGGGTGGGGGAAGCAGAAACCTGTACAAACCACTTATAACCATAAATAACCACAAGGCAGATTAGCAATCTACTGCTAATATTAACTCTTGTCTTACTGGCATACCCAGACGGTATCTGTAGACAGCAAACACAACCCCAGCCTTGAAAAGCTGGGCAAACACAGTCCACACTTCCCCCTCACTTCAGAGGTGATGTCATTTCCATCCTCAGTGCCTCCATTCCTCTTCATACTGCAGCTACCCTGCACATAAATAAACACTCCTGTCTCTGGAAGGACCACTGAAGTAACAAAAACTGCCGTTCTTTATTTACTTGTTCTTACTGGATTTGGTCTATTTTTACAATGACTGCCTACACAGTTACTAGTGGGTACTGTGCCGAGCCTCACCACCTGAGACCTGTGGTTCCCCATGGAATCTAGGAGTATATGAAAATATTTCTGGTCACCACAACAGGGTGGGATGCTACTGGCATCTACTGGGTAAAGACCATGGATGCTATTAAAGTGTTATTATACATAGGACTCACTCAAAGAATGGTCTGGATGAAAATGACATTTATGGCAAGGGTGAAAAAAACCTGTTATATATATATATGGATTGTCAAAACTTTTATACAAGATTGGAGTAAATACTTTAGATCTTGTGGCCAACAAACATCTGTTCAGTATAGCTCTGCAGCTGTGGCACCCGAGCAGCCAAAGGTAAACACAAAAGGAGTGGCTGCTGCAGTGGTAGTGAGCTCACTTAGCACTCTCTACGCCCTAGGTCCATTCCCCAACACCATTCCTGCTCACTTCCTGGAACACTGTAGACTTGTGCTTCTCAACAGAACATTATGCAGAGATAAAAATGCCCTGTTTCTGTATTGTCCAAAACATCTGCTACAAATCACATGTGTCTGCTAAAGATACGGTGAGTGTAAATAAGGAACTACAATTTTTGTTCTATTCAGGCCTAATTTTAAACACTCGTACGTGGGCAGCAGACCCTATAGCAGGTCTCTGGGTGGCTTGCTCAGTCTGTTCTCACAGAGCAGTTCCATCCAGAATGTGAAGATATGCCTCAGAGGTTCCCACCTGGGCTTTAAAGACTGTCTTCACCACAGCCCCATGGAACCAAATGACAGTAAATAAAGTCCCCCAAACTAGGACGTAAGTGCTAAAATTTTAACCAAGAAGACAAAACAAAACATGTTCCTCTAAGACTTTCATTAACATTTATAGTTTTAAAAATCTAGGCTGGTCCAGGCGTTGGTGGCACACAACTTTAATCCCAGCACTTGGGAGGCAGAGGCAGGAGGATCTCTGTGAGTTCGAGGGCAGCCTGGTCTCCAGACTGAGTGCCAGGATAGGCTCCAAAGCTATACTGGGAAACCCTGATATATATATATATATATGCTGGAGAGATGGCTCAGAGGTTAAGAGCCTCTTCCAGAAGTCCTGAGTTCAATTCCCAGCAACCACATGGTGGCTCACAATCATCTGTAATGAGATCTGGTGCCCTCTTCTCTTCTGGCATGGAGGCAAAACATTGTATACATAATTAGCATATAAGTCTTAAAAAAAAAAATCTATCCTGGATGTGCTGACTGAAGCCTTTAATCCCAGCACTCAGGAAGCAGAGGCAGGGGGATCTCTGGGAGCTAAAGGCCAGCCTGGTCTACAAAACTAGTTTGGAGACAGCCAGAGCTGTTATAGAGAAACCTGTCTTGACAGATAAATAATTAAATAGATAAATAAATAATAAGAGTTGTACAAACCAGAATGCCAGAGCAGGAGAGTTATCAACTGTCACAGTTAACAGAATGATGGCAACATCAGTAGCAGAGGAACCCATGACACTAGCCACAAGCCAAAACCTTGCTGTGCAACTCAAGCTGCCCTCAAATTCTTGATCCTCTATTCTCTTAGCCTAGATACTCAGGGGAGGGCCCTAGGCCCTGCCCCAAATGACTTGACAGACTTTGAAGATCCCTCATGGAAGGTCTCAGCCTCCCTGGGGAGTGGATGGGGGATGGGATGGGGGGAGTTGGTGGGGGACCTGGGAGGATGGAAGGGAGAGGGAACTGGGATTGATACGTAAAATAAGACTATTTCTAATTTAAATAAAATTTATAAAAAAAAATTCTTGATCCTCCTTCCTCAGCATCCCCCAGTTGTTGGGATTATAGTGTGACCTACCACACCTGGTTTGGCCAGATGAACTTTGAGTTTAGGTGAGTATTGACTACAACTAATGAGGTGGTTACTACCACCAATCCATTGCACACATAAAGACACTGAGGCACACAGGCTATATAACCTGCCCAAAAGACTGATCCCCACCCCTGCTCCTTCTGTCAATGCATGAAACTTTCATGAAAAGGCAAGTTCTTCATTGTAGGGCCCAGCCATGACAAGTTCAATAGAGCCTGAGTTTTAAATTGCCCCGAAGGCAATACCTGGTTCCAGGAAACCACCCATTATCACCTGCTGTCCCTTAATCCAGCACACATACACATCCCCCTTCACAAGACCCCTAGACAAATGTCAGCCAATCAGGGGTCTGGAACTTTAGAAATCCCTTACCCGACTCTGTTGATTCTTTGAGACAGGTCACTGTCTCTGTCTCTCCCTCTTCCCTTCCCCCCAATAAATTTTATATATACACACACACACCCTCACCCCAACCTCTGCTACAAAAAACCCCACCCCAACTGAGCTCAAGGCTCTCTGATTGTGCCAATTCACAGAGTTCAAACTTGAATA